GATATGGGATCCTTTTCACCAGTATTGCTGGGCATTGGGGTAGGAGATAAATCCCCACAGGCATAGGCTCCTTTCTAGTGCAGAGCCAAGATGCTGAAGAGCTAGATGGCTACATTTCAGGTCTAAGTGGCTAGCCTGGTTTTTTGTTTTTTGTTTTTAAAGTCCTTTTCACTTTGTGGAAGATTCCAAGGTGACCCAGTAAAAACAGGCACCTCGGGTCAGAAAATCATCATCTTCAAATCAGCCTCTAATGGTCAGGCATCTAGGCTCCCAAAAGAGCAACAGGTGTCTGGTGCCCCCAAGTAGGCAAAATAGTCATCAATATAGGGAACATTCCAAAAGCTGAATTCCTGGACTTGAGCCAGGAGCCAGGACTGCTGTGTGAGCACTCGCTTGCCCGCTACCTTTACTGGTGCTCTTCGTTTCTTCATGTGGCTTTGCGTTTCCATATCATGTCCTTTCCTTCTTAGAGCTGAGCTCCAAGTTAGGTCAAATGGCACAGCAGATGTGCGGATGGGGCCTTGGTGGAAATCCAGAACAGGTCAGCCCCTCAGGCTGCTGTGAGGCCACCAGTTTTCACTGCTTACGGGCCAGACCTGGGGAGCTAGTGGCTTGGGTGAGAAGAGATGAGTGGCTCCAAGTGAAACACCACAGATTTGGCTATTCTCACGCAGGTTCACTGGTTCTTCTTGAGTAAATGCTTCTTAATTTGTTGTATGCTTTTGGTCAATTTCCGAAGTCTTGAAAGGATGGATATTGATTATTTTGCCAGTATTTCCATTGCTTTCATGGGGGAGATTTCCTGAGATCCTCACTGCCTTTCCAAAAGTCCTGCCTTAGGGCATTTCTCTTAAAACTACAGGAAAGTACAGAAAATCATCATTGTAACTAACACCCTTGTACTTACCTCCCAGAATTAGCAAATGTCAATATTTTGATACTTGGTGGTGGTATTTTTTTTTAATTGTAGAAGTAGAGGTTTACAAATAAAGGTGAAGGCTCTTTTCCTCTCCTGAGGCCTGTTGCCCTTATTCACTCCTCAGGCAAACAGTATTATGAATTTGGTGAGTATCCTTCTCATCCATGTTTTTATACTTGCAGAACATATATTTGTATCTGTAGTCAGATTAGCGGACTTGAACTATAAGGTTCCTTCTAAAACTTTCTTTCTGTATTCAGCATTGCCCTTTGAGTCTTACCTATACTGATACATTACATGTAGTTCATTCATTTTAACTCTGGTATAACATTCCACCATCTGACTGTTGCAGTCCATCAGTCCATACCTCCATTACTGAGAACTTCATTGTTCCTTAGAATTGTTGCCATTCTTGTACATGTACCCTGGCAGAATTTCCTCTGTGGTAGAACTGCAAGTGGAATACATAGTAGGGTATGTACCTTTTCAACATTACTGGATGTTATTCCATAGAATCAATTTGCCTTGTATATTTAAGAGTTCTTCATCTGTTTGGGGACCTGCCTGGCCCAGTCAGTGGAGCGTGTGACTCTTGATCTCAGGGTTGTAGGTTTGAGCCCCGTGTTGCAAATAAAATCTTCTAAAAAAGTTTTGCATCTATTTAAGCGAAATTGCTTTAAAATATTCTCCTATTCTGTCCTTATTTGCTTTTGGCATCAAGGTCAATCTGTTTTATGTAACATAAGCATTGTTTTACCACCTGTGTTTTGGTTATTAAGTACCAGTACATCTCTTTCCATAATTTTATTTTCAACATTTCTCTCTCATTTTGCTCTAATTGTCTTTGGAAAACATAAAGCTGATTTTGAAAAATACAATTTGGGGTGCCTGGGTGGCTCTAGTAATTAAGCGTCTGCCTTCAGCTCAGGTCATGATCTCAGGGTTCTGGGCTCGAGCCCTATGTTGGGCTCCCTGCTCAGCGGGAAGCCTGCTCTCTTTCTCCCACTCCCCCTGCTTGTGTTCCCTCTCTTGCTGTGTCTCTCTCTGTTAAATAAATAGATAAAATCTTTTAAAAAAAGAAAAATTTAATTTGATACGGTTGCCCTTTAATGAATGGGGTTAATATATATTGTGCCATTACTGTGTTAGTATTTCTTCTTGTATTTTCTACATATCCTACTTTTTCTTTACCTCTTTTTTTAGAAGACTTTTTTAGACAGAGCGAGAGAGCAAGCAAGGGTAGGGGCAGAGGGAGAGGGAGTGAATCCCACGCAGACTCCATGCTGAGTACGGAGCCCAAGACGGGGCTCCCTGTGACCCAAGCCAAAATCAAGCGTCTGATGCCCAACCTACTGAGCCACCTAGGTGCCCTCTTTTTACCTCTTTTTTCCTGCCCTTATTGCATTTTTAACCCCCTCCCTAACTTTTTCCCTTTGGTTATTTTCCTCCTGAAAAATTTAAGTATCAAACATTATTGTTAGCCAGGCTTTGTGGTGTGGTAAGTTCCCTACCTTTTCTTGTCCAAAAACACTTTTATTTTATCATCTTTCTTTGAGATAACTTATCTGGGGATAGAGTTCTAAGATGACATCAAGCTTCTCTCAGGACTTTGAATACATTGTTTAATCTTTTGGTGTCTTGCTGATGAAATCTAATGTTGATCTCATTGTTTCTCTATAGGTGATTTAAGAAATGTCTCCATGGTAGCTTTCCATACTTACTTTATGACTTAAAACTCTTGTGGTTCCACTAAACTATGCCCAGGTTCAGTTTTCCTTTTATTTATCACACTCAGGACTCTGGACATTCAGTGGTAGGATGTACCTTTCTTCCATCTAGAAAACTATCAGTCATTGTCTCTTCAAATATTGCCCAACTCAGGCATCCCCGTGACCACTACCAAATTTAGAAATTTTTGAGAGGGACTCTTGGGACTCCACATATCATTGTATCTACAGCTATGCTTCATTACAGCAATGTAGTAAAGATAGTCTACTAGATCACAAGGGGAAAAGACACCAGCAGAGTCTGAATGAATCCATGTACAGGATTCCTTGTGCTCCCTCCCTCCCATCTAGGGTCACACAGGGCACACTTCTCCCAGCAGAGAAAATGCAATAACGTGTGTGCGCACGGAAGCCCATTAGAAACTCAGCACCCTCGGTTACTCTGCGTGGCACATACCAAAACTCCAGACTCACAGAAGGAAAGGAAATGTTCAGCATAAATCATATTGTTTGTACAAGCAGCATTATCCGTTAGGGAATGGTGGAGACATGCCCGAACTCCAAATTCCCAGATGTCAGCCAGGGCCCAACCTTGCAGGCTAGCCTTTCTTTTTCTTATTTTTTTTAAAAGATTTTATTTATTTATGTGAGAGAGAGAATAAGAGAGAGAGCATGAGAGGGGGAAGGTCAGAGGGACCTGCTGAGCAGGGAGCCCAATGTGGGATACGATCCTGGGACTCCAGGATTATGACCTGTGCTGAAGGCAGTCGCTTAACCAACTGAGCCACCCAAGCACCCCAGGCTAGCCTAAGTATGGTAGTCTCAGGGCTGCTCTATTAATCCTTTCCTTGGCATATTGCCCCTGGCCCTTTCTCTCTCTTCTTTCCATTTGGATTTTATATTAAAGTCTGTGTTGGAACTTACGTTTTTCTATTTGTCTTACCATATTTCCATTTTTTTAGCTCTGTATGTTACCTTCTGGGTGATTTCCTAAGATCTATCATCTGATTCATTAAATCTGTCTTAATCTGTGACTATTCTACTGTTCAACCTCTCTATTTAGAGTTTCAATAATGCCTATATTTTCCATTTACATGTTTCTTTTCTCAAATATTCCTTTTTTTAACCCCATAATGTAGATCTTACACTATTTCTTTGAGTATTTGAAATTATAAACTCTAGATTGTTCTGTCAGCTACAGTTCTAGGAATGGGGCATCTTTAAATGTATCTGCTGAGTATCTCTCAAGATGGTTCATCTAAATTATTTTACTGTGAACTCTTCAGTGAGAATTGGTTTTCCATAGAAGTTCTGTGAGTCCTTAGCTATAAAAACGTAAGAATATATCTTTCAATTTTGCTACTGCTAGGAATCAGTGAATAATAGGACCAATTTTTATGTTAGTTTTTCAGCTTGTGGGCCTCTGTACTATAACTATGATGTTTTCAGATTGAGTTACATTACTAGGCTTTTGCTTTCGTATATATAATACCTTTCTTTCCAGTTTCCTTGACCAGTGGAGAGTCTTTCTAACTCCCCATTAGCAAACATGGAAGCCCCTTGTAATTCCAGCTGTAAGTGGGAATTACATACCAGTTTCCTGAGCATTTTTACCCGTTGGTTTGGATTTTACTGCACATCCTCAAGCTTCAGTTTCTCTTTACCTCATCGCTTTGAATTTCTGCTTCACTTTTGACACCTAATACTTTTCTTGGTCTTGAGCTTGACTGTGTATTAAATTACTTTTGTTAAATGTGGGCCAGCATTTCCTTGTGTTTACAGTCAGAGGAGGTGGCGCTAGTGAGGCACTGAGGGAGCCCACCCACATCAGCTCATAGCCTGTTGATAGGAGTTCACAGCAAGACATTTATGAACTAATTTTATCCCATAACATTGTAGTAGAAATGTTTACAAGTTTGAAGAGTTCCTTGCATTTTTTTCTAGAATTCTGGCAAGTTGATGACCAGATAGACGACCACAAGGAAAGCCGAGACCAACCTCAGTGGCAAGCTGCATTAGCAGACAAGGAAGCATGGAAGGATCAAAGTGGCCACGAATTCACAACCTTGAGGAAAATCGTTTATCCAAACACAGACTTCATTTTTATAAGACAAAGACTCCCTAAATATTGTTCCTGGGGAAGGTGTTCAAAACATAATTTAAACTTTCTTTGTCAAAATAGAAGCTATGTAAGAAAGAAAGATGGTGAACGTCAGGCGCATTGGAAATTATGCTTCCATTCTAATCTCAATAATGCTCAACCTGCAGAGAAATTTTTTGAGCCTCATCAACATAGAAGAACCCTCCACCAGAAGCAAGCACTTAATAAAACTCAAAGATTTCAAACTAGGGAGAAATGCTATGAGTGTTCTGAATGCGGTAAAGTGTTTATCCAAAAAGCAAACCTTGTAGTACATCAGAGAACTCACACAGGAGAGAAGCCTTATGAATGCTTTGAATGTGCAAAAGCCTTCAGCCAGAAGTCAACCCTCATTGCTCACCAGAGAACTCACACAGGGGAGAAGCCCTATGAATGCAGTGAATGTGGGAAAACCTTCATCCAGAAGTCGACTCTGATTAAACACAAGCGAACTCACACAGCAGAGAAACCATTTGTATGTGGTGAATGTGCAAAAGCCTTTAAGAGTTCGTATCACCTTATTAGACACGAGAAAACACACATTAGACAAGCATTTTATGAAGGAATTCGCTGTGGTAAGTCCAGCCTTATGCATCCAAGGACTCACAAGGGTGAGAAACCTGAGTGCAATAAACACAGGAAAATCTTTGACGAGAAAGCCAACCCCATTAAACACCAGAGGTCTCATACAAAAGAGAAACCTTATGAATGCAGTAAATGCAGAAAAAGCTTCAGGGGAAAGTCACACCTCTCTGTTCATCAGAGGATTCATACAGGAGAGAAGCCTTACAAATGCAGCATATGCGGGAAGACTTTCAGTGGGAAATCACACCTCTCTGTCCATCATAGAACTCATACAGGAGAGAAGCCTTATGAATGCAGAAGATGTGGGAAAGCGTTTGGTGAAAAGTCAACCCTCATTGTACATCACAGAACCCACACAGGAGAGAAACCTTATAAATGCAATGAGTGTGGGAAAGCCTTCAGCGAGAAGTCACCACTGATAAAACATCAGAGAATTCATACAGGAGAAAGGCCCTATGAATGCAGTAACTGTGGGAAGGCTTTCAGTAGGAAGTCAACTCTCATTAAACATCAGAGAATCCACACAGGGGAAAAACCCTATGAATGCAGTGAATGTGGGAAAGCCTTTAGTGTGAAATCAACTCTCATTGTACATCACAGAACTCATACGGGAGAAAAACCCTATGAATGCAGGGACTGTGGAAAAGCCTTCAGTGGGAAGTCAACTCTCATTAAACATCAGAGAAGCCACACAGGAGATAAAACCTATTAAGACACTTGAGCGTGAGATAATGTCACTATTCGTTATATCTCATTATGTATCTGTTCATCCTGGTCAGTAACCTTATAAATGTCAAGAATGTCAGAAACTCTTAAGATATTATTTAATGTTCCTTTAATATAATAAATGGTACAAAAGCATAATTCCAGGAGCATGCAGTGAATGTGATCAGATTTTTACCCAGAATTCTTATCCGTGAGTGGAAAATTATGTATCAGAGAATTCCAAGGTGGCAAAATTGTGAGTGTATTGACATGAGATTACCTTGAGAAAGAATTTAAATGTCAATGCCTGTCAGGGTATTTATGCTGAGGAAGAACTAAGAATTGAATGAGTTTAGAAAACCGTGTTAGCAATTTTGAAAGAAACATGTTCCATAATTTTAAAAAAGATTTTATTTATTTACTTGAGATAGCATGAGCATGAGTGGGGGGAGGGGCAGAGGGACAAGCAGACTCCCTGCCAAGCCTGGACCCAGAGATCATGCTCCGAGCCAAAACCAAGCCAGTCACCCAACCAACTGAGCCACCCAGGCACCCCCATGTTCCGTATTCTACACCAAACATTTTGTGGGAAAGGTGCAGAGGTTGCAAACAAGCACTTAAATATAAAAAGTGAGGTTCAGGGGCACCTGGGTGGCTCAGTGGTTAAAGCCTCTGTCTTCGGCTCAGGTCATGATCTCCGGGTCCTGGGATCGAGTCCCGCATCAGGCTCTCTGCTCAGCAGGGAGCCTGCCTCCTCCTGTCTCTCTCTGCCTGCCTCTCTGCCTACTTGTGATCTGTCAAATAAAAAAAAAAACCTTTAAAAAGTGAGGTTCACCGTGGAATAGAGTATGACATTTTTGAAAGAACAGTACAGAGCATAAACCATTAATCCCAGCTGGGGCAAACTTCCCCATGTTTTTTTTTTTTAAAGATTTTATTTATTTATTTGACAGAGAGAGATCACAAGTAGGCAGAGAGGCAGGCAGAGAGAGAGGAAGAAGCAGGCTCCCACTGAGCAGAGAGCCCGATGCGGGGCTCGATCCCAGGACCCTGAGATTATGACCTGAGCCGAAGGCAGCAGCTTAACCCGCTGAGCCACCCAGGCGCCCCAAACTTCCCCATGTTACTTCTTAAATAGAAAAATTGCTCCCTTAAATAGCATGAGGGAGGATGAGTCATCAGGATCCCTGAAACAAAGGGGCTTGAAGAGATCTTATACATGTTACTCGTCATCTGAAGTGCAAAAATGCACATCCCTTACAGAGAAGGCTCACCTTGCTTAGAAACAGTGCTTAGAATTTAATATTCTTTGTCTTTTAAGAAAGAGTAATCACTTTATGGTGACACAATAAGAGATTTTTAATTTTCAGAGTATCTCCTGTAACAGCAATATTATTTAAGTTGAAAAACAAATGAATATCCTATAATGGCCAATTGATAATATGGACCAATTAAGAATCATCTTTTCTTTATTATGTTTGAGGATTTGGGGAAATGGTTGTGGTAATCTGTTAAATGAAAAAAATGGATTATAAAACAATATATCATATGGTTAATGTATAAAAAATACATAGAGGAAGGCTATGCACCATTGTATCAGTGATTCTGAGTGGTAGAAATATGGCAACTTTATGATGAGTAAAATTATATGCAAATATATTATTTGTATTTATATCTATTTAGATGTGTGTATGTAGGTAGTAGACACATAGAACAAAAAGCTAGGAAGGAAATATACCAAATTATTAAGCAAATTATCATTAGGGTATTGGGAAATCGGTTTTTAAATGTTTTGAGCACAGTCTCCAGAAACTACCAATAAATTGTTTACAGTAAGTAATCCTGTGCGTACTTGATTCTTTCTTCCCATCCATTTTCCCTTTCAGCTTTGCCTTTGGTTTTGAGAATATATTTGCATGTTGAGAATGGGTATCCTGTGATTTTAATATCTATATGTGATTTTTAAATAAAAATAAAAATACCTCCATAGTTCATCAAATCCTGTGACATAAGTTATCAGGAACAGATTTTTACAGATGAGATGTAGTGAATGGTCAAAGATAGCACAAGTAATGAGACAAAACTGACCACTGACACCAAACAAATATAAAGCTTATTTCACTGTGATATCTGTGAATGTTACTTGCTCACATGACTTCCTTTTCTTCTTGTCCTGTTATCAGGCACTTTCCAGGTGACTCCAGTGAATTGTGCTGTATGGAATCCTCTCCCCTTGTGTGGGCAGAACTGAGACTTGCTTCTAGACAATAGATTATGGCAAAAGTGATGTGATGTCGCTCCTGTGAGTGTGTCATATAAGACTCCATCTTAGCAGACTGGAAAGAAACTTTCTTTGCTGGTCTGATGAGGAAAGCAGCCATGTTGAGGAAACCCATGGGCCAAAGAACGGCAGCTAACTTCTAGGACCTGAGGGAACTCTGAGCTAAGACAGTAGGACCTGAGTGGCAAAACTTTGGAGACAAGAGAAGTGAAGAAAAGTAAGCCCGGTAGAGCTTTGTTTCCCACAAGGCAGACCAGTAAATGGCATAAGATAAATTATGAGAGAGAGGCACAACAGCCACGTGCCTGAGGTACCGAGGAGAGCTTTCAGCAGAACCATGTACCAAGACGATCTAACGTGGACTTCAGATCCCACCAGTGGTGAAGGGCCCTGGTAAATACCACAAGACCCCCAGCTGGAATCTCTGAAGGACTTGAGGAATTAGGAATAGGTAAATATCAACCAGAGCTTTAAAAGATTGATAATCCAACCTGAATTAGCTCACTAGCTAACTGAATCAAGGTAATTTATATAACCGCCCATCAGGAACTAGAGCTCATCTAGAGTTTATATGATTTCTCACACACCTTGGTATTTGGCGGAAAATTGCCAGGTACAACCAGAGTCAAGAAAAAAGTAGACAGTAGAAACAGACCCCCCCCCCCCGCCAAGTAATTCAGACAGGAAACACAAGTCATGGTTTGTTTGTTTTTTTAAGATCTTATCTAATTATTTGACCGAGAGAGAGCACAAGCAAGCAGAGTGGCAGGGAGAGGGAGAGGCAGGCTCTCTGCTGAGCAGGGAGCCTGATTTGGGGCTTGATCCCAGGACCCTGGGATCATGACCCAAGCCAAAGGCAGACGCCCACTGACTGAGCCACGCAGACGCCCCAAGTCATGGTCTTTAAAATAACTGAGTAATACAAACAAGAAAATACAAGATGAAATTCTTGGGAAAATGCAAATTATTTCCAATAATTTACTTTTTTGCCTAGTGCTTTATTTTCTTAGCGTTTCTAAATGGTCCCCCCCCTTTTTTTTTTCATTTTTCCAGGGTCACAAACTTACCATCCAATCTATGGAGGTTCTCCCTCTGGTATTAGAATTTAGGGTAGTTATTAACTGAGGGGGATGGCTGAGAAAGGGCAGAGGGAGGAGCCTCAAAGCAAGCTAGAAACTTCTCCAAAGAATAGTTATCTGCAGAAGTGTTGTTATAGTGTTGCTATACTCCCAGATCCTCATGGACAGTACTGTGACTCTCATACAGGGACCTTCCAAAGGCTCTATCCATCATTTCCATCTGCCACAGCCACTTCCAGCACCTTGATAACGCTAGGTCATGTAGCTGAGGAGACACTGCATGTGGTAGGCCAGACCTATTTCAAAGTACATTCTTGGGACACCTGGGTGGCTCAGTGGGTTAAGCCTCTGCCTTCGGCTCAGGTCATGATCTCAGGGTCCTGGGATTGAGCCCCGCATTGGGCTCTCTGCTCAGCAGGGAGCCTGCTTCCCACCCCCCCTCTGCCTGTCTGCCTGCTGTGATCTCTCTTTCTGTATCAAATAAATAAATAAAATCTTTTTTTTTTTTTAAAGTACATTCTTGCTTTAGGCCACACTAAAAATTGGCAGTTTTGTGTTATGCAGTAAATGATCTAGCACAGCATGACAGAAGTGTCTAACAGTCCAGCAGTGGTTCCTCAAAAGTAGTATTCTCTGTTGCGGATTCCATGGCCTCCCTCCCAGATGCTAAGGACCTGAGACTCACACTGCAACTTTCCCCACTACTGACACCCTTGATGCCACAGAGTCGGCCAGATCACAGGGTCCAAGCAACAAGTCTGCTTGTGCTACAACCTGGGCTGGCTACAGTCTTTCCTGCTTTGGGCCCCCCTCAAAGCTAGCAGCCTTCTGTACTTGGTACATGGGCCAGGGATGTACTTCTAGGTGTGGAATACGTTCCCTCCAGATCCCAAAGAGGCCTGTATTTCCGTATTGTGAAGTTTGTGTGTTTGAACTTGTGGTAGTTTAAACACATTATTCCATTGTCCCATTCTTCTAACTGCTTTCTCCAAAGGTCGGAATGAAGAATTAAACAGAAATATGATGAAGGATCACTAATCCCTTTAAGCCTTTACTAGTGGCACTGATCTCCATCATCCCCTAGAGTACAATATTGGTTTCAGTTTACCATCTTGGTTGGTGGGGGAGGGTGAAAGCAAGTTTTCCATTTTGTTCTCCCCACTATGAAGGATCTTGGTACACAGGCCAAAGACCCAGCATGGATGTTAATCCAATGGCTAAGACTGGGAAATGACCACTGGGCGTGTCTGCAGTTGCAGTGGGCACTGTGAGTCAGACTTCAGCTAGCACTCAGCCCCCAATCCAACAGGAGGGCCATGACGATGCTTTGTGTCTGGGTATTAACATGAACTCAGAAAGCTATGTTCAGCAGTCCTAAAAATATCTGGGAACTCCCCTTTTCTCAGTGTATAGTCACCCAAATAAATGGCGATAGGTTTGGGTGTGGGGAGACAAGGGTGAGCAATAGACACCTGCAACAGCGCTATAGGGTCCTTCCTTCGAGGGACATGGACAACTCTCCAATTTGTTCCAGGTCTTAAATTTGGCTCAGATCTGGGAACTGAGCAAGGGACCCTTACTTTTTAATAAAGCAATTGCCCTCGGACTCCTGCTCTTTGAATTTTGCCCTTTTCTGATCATAATGTTAAACAACATTCCTACTGACTGCCCATCAGTTTTACGCCTAGGGATTCCAGGCTTATCAGCAGAGTCAATGCAGACGAGGAGAACTTAATGAGCTTGAGGGAACGTGTTTAGGTTTTTGCCATTTAATAGGATGTCGGCTGTGGGTTTTTGTAGATGTCTATTTAAAGATTTTATTTTTAAATTATCTCTACACCCAGTGTGGGGCTGGAACCTGCAACCCCAAGATCAAGAGTCATATGTTCCACTGCCTGAGCCAGCCAGGCCCTCTGGAGATGTCTTTTATTTTTTTTTATTTTTATTTTTTTTTAAAGATTTTATTTATTTATTTGACAGAGAGATCACAAGCAGGCAGAGAGGCAGGCAG